CACCTTTGTATTTAGTCCATAAACTCATGTTCGCCCCCGGGTCAGCCGCCGTCAATATCTTTAAGTGGCGTTCACAGCGGCTGAGCCGCTGTGACTTCGGGAGCTGCGTGACGGCGGCTATGCTTCATCTTATCAGTGGGCTGCGAGTGGCCCGCCGGCGGCCCGATTAGATTCTGGTTCGGTCTGACACAAAATATTCACGCCAACGTTTCAAAGCACTAGTACAGTCGACTCTGTCTTAACCCATACCTGTGATAACCCATAACCTGTAATAACCCATAGGTTTTTGGCTTCCACCAACATGGTAGATAGTAAAAACCCATAAGTCTGCCGTATCCCATAACCCATAGCTTTTTGGAGGGTCATAACCCATAAAACAACCTATATTAGGAAGGTACAGGTCTCCTTCCCACGAGAATCTGGACCATCTGGACCCTTAATTTTTGGTTCTCGTGGTATTTCAGAAGATAACCCATACCAGACTCAAGATTCCGTATCTAAACAGTTGTCATAAACGACGTCCGGCCTATACCGCATAGGCTGTCATAGGCTGTCTGTCACGCTTACCAGGTAGTCACACAATGTCACACGTTCTGGTAACCCATAGTCTGCAGAAACCCATAACTTTTGGGTTCCACGACCCGTTATGGGTTAAGACAGAGTCGACTGTAGTTTAATAATATAGAGACATGTTTGGTAATACATTTATACACCTCCCTGCAATTATTATTTATAGCGCAAAACCGGTCCAAGTTAAATTCTGAATTCCGACCGGTCACAGGGTATGATTCTGGCTCTGAAATTATGATTTGGGCCCAGGGTCGCATAGAATCTGGGATTTACAAATGAATTTCTGGCTCACTTAAAGACCATTCAGTATATAATTTATGTTATCTAGTTCAGTGATGTATCTGTGTAATAAATCCTGTATCACATATTTGACTGAGCCTGAACTTTATATGGTGGTTGAGCATTCATTTTGATATTCTGGCCCGCCCTAAAGTTTCGGAAGGCTCTTGTGATCAGACTTCTTAGACGCGTCAGACTCTGCTCGACCAATCACATTGCGCGAAATCCTTACAGCGCGTCAGAACCTCAATTTGGGTCGTTCAGGCACGGGGCGCCCTAGGAACTGCGAACATACGACGCCTGCCAGTCACGACTGTGGCATGGCGAGCATGTGTACAAACATCCAGGACGGTCGGTGTACTTGTGGGGGCCGCAGGATACGCCCTCCTCCGTCTTGATGCCCACTATGGACCGAAAATCCCGGGATGGCCAGTCCGCGCTCTTCGCGCAGAGCACCCTCCTATGGAGGGATTGACTTGGGCTGCGCGCCGGTCTCGGGAGGTGAGCCACTCCGCACAATCCTACAACTGTAGGGATGCGCAAGAGCACAGGACACTGAGCCAAGCCCTAACATCTGCCCGCGTAAGTTATTCTGGTTATTTGCCGTGCCGTTGACGTGTATACCCTACTCGAGGATTGGTTTATACCCTTATCCTGTACCTTTAGTGTTGTATATCATCTGCCTGCGTTTCGATGGTGTTCTGGGTCTTGAGCCTCCTATGTTACGTCCTGCTCCTTGCATCGTGGATTGAATTGCTGCCTCTCAAGTTACCGCATGTGGTCTACGACATCGATTGACCCATGGCGCTGCGACGTCTTCGCGGTGCACGTTAAATAAATCATTGTGGGGATATGTACGCAACATCATCACCCGGACCAGCAAAGAAGTACTCATTGCGGAACGTTCGATCAATGGCGGGACAGTAGAAGAGAGGAGTGAATTACGCCTGTTTATACGTATCATGAGAAAAAGTAAGAATATCTTGATTCATATTGGAGAGCCCGACCTCAAGGCTCAGCAATAGAAATTGAAGACGAGCTCAGAGCAGCCGACCCCTATGCTACTCAAGAGCTCAACTATGGTTCTATACAGTTGCTCCCCATCAGCGCCTAACAGTTCATAATACCTGCGAGTGTGCACTTAGCGCTTCTGTGGAAGGACATGTCGGAGTCGATGGGCCCAGGAATGCACCACCGTAAGGGAACTCAACGCGGCCAACGACTAACATCCTCCAGCTTAATCCCCCATAATCGTTCGTAATATTGCTGCCTGCGAGCGGCTGTACCGTATCTTCAATACCGTCTATGTAGAACGAAGTTCACGAACGGAGCTGCGACAACAGACGTGACAGGATCGCCGTGACCTCACGCGCCACGCTTCACGCGTCCGTGACAGATGTCTCAGATCGGCTATTTTTAGCAACTCCTTTGTGTTCGCTACCACCAAGAAGGGAGTGGCCACAGAGACGCGGCACTGCCTAAAGCGCAAGGAACAACAGCCATCAAAGCCACACAATTGCACGCGACCAGGGCCACAAGATGGCGTTCATAAGCTTCAGCTTCCACAAAGTTCACATTGTACGTTCTTTGGTATCCTACTCCCCGCCAGACTAACAATATGTTCCGTCGTTCTGCGCCCAATTTATCTCGTCCTGACCCTGCTGCCAACGATGTTGGTCATGGGGCAATCTCTACCTTTGCCGGCGGCCGACCCTGCGTCAATTCTTACGTGCTATTTCGCAACACGCACACGAAGCACGATGAGCACCGCCGCCTGGCTGGGCTAGAGACCAGTGGACTATGCTATGGACCAGTGAATATCGCAGATTTCCTTCGCAGAGAATGTTTCCCGAGAATGAGGCTCACATCGATTGCGCCAAATACAATGAAACGGTTCAAGACCTGGCTCCAAGCCGTGAAACCGAGCACGACACCTTCGACTGGGTTCTCCGAACGAGGAATGTATGAACCATTAGTAGGTGAAATCTCTCTCTTTCGTGATAATTGCTTATCTTTAGTTCAGGCCGCGTCCCTCAACAACATCTCCCGGACGATCATACCTGGACGACCATTGCCAGTGGCGTTCCACATATGCGCGGAGAAACGACCAGAGGAGGTGAAAGGTGGCATACGAGGAGCCCCAGATTTAGTGGTATTTCCTCATGGTACATCGGACGAGTACTGGGCGCGAGGGCTGGGCTTCGTAGAGGTCAAAACCGAGGAAAATGAAGATCCTTTCTATGGTCAAGCGGAGTATGCAGGGGAGCCCCCAATTATGACGGAGGCGCAGACCGAAACTTGGAAGCAGCTGAGCGAATATGCCACCATCGCATTTCGTACCATCCCCCGCTGCTTTCTCCTGGCTATTGGCATCTTTGGTGGCAAGGCACGCCTTTTCCGGTGGGATAGGTCATCTGTCATAGTCTCGGACTCTTTCGACTACAAGGAGGAGCCCGCGCACCTGGCTTACTTTCTTACTGGTCTGGCGCGATTTGGCAATAGCGGAATAGACACAACCGCGCACATGCCCGTCACCTCCGAGGTTGAGAAGAAACTACTGAAAGCCCAATTCGAGCAAGCGAAGGCTCTCGGTATTTTTGATGAATACGAGGCTGCGCGTAGAGGGGCGGATCTGATTAGCGAGAGTACTCGCATACAAGGCCGACGCCGAAGAGGTCAGCGTGGCGGCGAGATCTACATTACACTTGGACGACCGTTGTTATCCAGCAGATCCATCAAGGGCCGCGGTACAAGGGTATGGGTGGCTACCAAACTCGAACGTTTGGATCGCGCGGGACATTCGAGTGGCCGCCTCTTTATCATCAAGGACAGTTGGCGCGAGAAGGATAGATGGACCGAGGGGCGTATATACGACGCAATCCGAGGCGATGAAGAGGTCCCAGTATTTGGCGTTGCTCGCTTTGAGGACGAGTTCGATGTCGGTGACCAGGACCCCGGGGGAGTTCACTGCACGGCAGGTGAGAGAATAAACGCGCAAAAGGACAAGTCCGTTCATGCAGAGCGTGTTCATCATCGCTGTATCCTTGAGTCGGTCGGGATTCCTATCACACGCTTCAAGTCGACGAAAGTGTTGATGATGGCTGTCCGAGACGCAGTGAAAGGTAGCGATAGTCTATACTCCTCGTACACAATCACTGATCCTTTGCTAGGTCATCAGAATATGTGCCTCAAAGATGTGCTCCATCGGGATATCAGTGTCAACAACGTTATGATCAGTGCCAGCGTCATTGCCGAAGGAGGCGCCATGGGGTTCCTCATCGATCCCGAACTAGCTGCGGTGGGTAGCATGCCAGATATAGAGAAAGAGCTACGGTTTCTGACGGTACGTTTGAGCTTCGGTTTGTTTATTCCCTTACTGAATTATCGTCTGAAGGGCACGCTTCCATTCACGTCTTTGGATCGTCTCGAGAACGAAGAGAGTAAACATGCCGATTGGCACGATCTTGAATCATTCTTCTGGGTCGTGTTATTTGTTGTCCTCCGGCACACCAGCTGCTACTACACCAAGGGCGGAAAGAAAATTGCTGGGGCCGAACAACTGCCGAGGTTATATGACAACATTGAAAATATCTTTGCGATCCGCAAGGACTTTCTGGAAACCATCCTCAAAACCTTGGAGATCATCGGCAATGCTCCTTTGACGGTTTGTCTCCGTCGGCTCGGCGATCTGGTCCTCAGTCACTACCGCCCTGACAGGTCAAGATATGCCCAACACGAGCTGGACCTGCTCACTCACGACCGAGTCGTGTTCACAATCCAGGAAGCTCTGGACTCGGAGGGCTGGCCGGACGAAGCGAATGATGGACCCCGTGTTTTCAAGATGCTTGATCGGACAAGTGTGAAGCAAAATAAAGCCATCGCTCTCTCTCTCCACCAGTCGAGGGCCGAGGGGCCCGACGAGAGCAAGCAAGCCCCAAAGCCTGGTCCCTCGCAGAAACGCAGGGTGGAAGAGCTC